ATAAGTTCATATGTACCTGGAGATACACTACTAACCAAGTTAAGGAAAGAATGTGTGGGTTAATATAGAACTTGGCAAAGTGCAGTCACTGTGGAATATCCAAGTGCTTGTAAACTTTAACCTAAAGGATCTTATGAGGAAGGATTACCTGACAACCAGTATGATTGAAAAGCAGTGTTAAAATATCTCTTTTTGAAGRAAGACTGTAGGTAATGTTGAATATCAGCTGCAGTGGGGTTCAGTTATTGCTTCAGCAAGTATCATCTGAAATATTTGTTGGTACAAGAGAATTCCTAATGCATATGATTCTCTTTCTAGTTATAATCTAACACCTTGCCACAGGGAAGTCTSAATACAGCACAACAGTGACTAAGCACCATTTGGGTGGTTTGTTTTTTTAATATTTTGAAAGCTCTGCATACAGAAAAGCTGTTGTGGAGGAACAGTTTTAATAACAAGTGCCACAGAGCATCTGTGTGCAGAGCGTTTTTAGAGATGTAGAGAACTGAGAAGTATTTGTACAGTGGAGCCACTGTACATTTGGTTCTTAGAATATAAGTAAAAATATTAGTTGGCAGGGTGGGGAGATATCAGTTTGGGAAGGTAACTCCAGGCTCCTGTTTTTACTTCCTAGCTGCTGTTGTCTTCCTACATGAGTCTGAACAATTTTCTGGTCTTGTCAGATCTGACCCATTTCCTTTTCTACAATAGATCTATTACTTACCTATAGTTAGATCTACAATGGCACTATTACTTACCTATAGTTAGAAAGTACCTGGAGGTTTAATTAATTAGTATTTCTGTTTCACTTGCATCTCTCAGGTAGGCTGTAGTTCTCAGAGGAGAGACTAAGATAAACCTCAAATCTGCCTCCCCGTCCCATAATTATTCCTGGTCCGAGGCAAAATCTTGACTTGTCCCCTTGATGCTGTCTCCTTGAGGATGTCCACCTGTCAGCTGAAGCTCCATGAAACTAAAGCAGASCCTTTCATAGAATCATAGGATCACAGAATCATAGAATAGTTTGGGTTGGAARGGACCTTTACAGATCATCTAGTCCAAGACCACTGCAATGAGYAGGGACATCTTCAATGAGATCAGGRTACTCAGYGCCCCATTCAACCTCTGCCCACAAGCCTCCATCACTGCTGCCCTTCTTGATCTCTTCAGACAATGCCAGCACCTTGYCCATCCTCATATCTGTATTATGACATCTTCTACCAAGTTATTTTTATAGGTCCTCGCRTGCAGTTTTATCTAAACTCTGCTGRTTTTTTTCTGAACTACACTGCTAGGTTTGGGCCATTGTTGTTTAATTGTACGAATTCCCGTCTTCTTCCAACATCTCTGCYTACCTACCTGCCTACCTGCCTTGCTTTCTGGAGCTGTTGCATCAGTGTAAGTCATGCCTCAGTCCATCCTCAGGGTGTTTTGAGTTGAATAAAGAATGCACACATGCTGTTCTCAGTGTCTGTTTCACTTGCTGAAATGCAGTCCAAYATGGAGCCTTTCACAGGAGATGTATTGGAAGGCCTGTGTGTTATAAAGGTGATGATAGGAAAATGAGTTGCTACTATGTCTTCTATTCAATGGAGCAGTAGTTTAAGCACAGGGGAAAAATTCTATTTTTCTATTCTATTTTTTCATTCTATTCTATTCCATTTTTTCTATCCTACTTCACTCTCCATCTGAGATGGGACATGTTCCAGACACAAGACTTAAATCRTTATATTGCAGAGTTCAGGAATGAGGCAGAAGTTTTTTTCCATCTCCATCATGAGTGTAATTTTATTTTATTAAAATTATTTCAGTATCAGAGTAATTTCTTGGGATGCAGCCAACAGAAGACCTTTGTCATCATTTTTCTAAGAAGCAATGCAGTCCATCATTCCTTAAAAATACATGAAAAATAAATGCGACATTTTAATTTGTACAAAACCCACTGTTTTGGTTTCACATTTTTGGGCATAAAAAATTAATTCCAGATCACATCAAAGCAATTTTTTTCTTCGTTGTCATTTAATGGTTGCACTTGAAATGCTTGATATTTGCACAATTTCCTTACAGGGTCTCTTTTCATCTACTAGGAACAGGTATGTACAGTTTGGCCCTTAGATGCTCACCCTCAATGGCTCAGCTCCAAGTGGTGGCCTAGTAGAGAATCCCTACAAAGCTCCTTTGATATCCTGAGCCTTACTGAACACAAACTCTTGGGAGGGCAGCTGCTTACCCTGTCTCCTCTTTCAAATGCTTTGTTGAGATAAATCTTAATGAAGACTGACTAAGCAAATGGGACATCGTCTTAACTCGGTTTCTTATCCATTTGTTTTGGGGAAGTTTTCCTTGTGTGCTTGTGAATTTTGCTGAATAAATTCCCTTGTGTGCTTTGATGTTTTGACACTGGATGTGCAGRAATCTCAGCACTGAACCTGACAACTTTACATTCTGCAGTGATATCCAGTTTTACTCTACCTAATGTTTGGTTTCTTTAGTGCTGGCATTTCCAGTTCCYTGCCTATCCTGACAGTGAAGTGCTGCTTATCTGCAGAGCCACGCTGATGATAACAAGCAGGGCCTTTTTTGTTTCGCACTACTGTCATGCTCAGTGTCACAGGAACATGTGCAGGCCACATCTATCACGTCACACYGACAAAGCAGGTTGCAGTAACAGAAGATGTCAGGGATTTGGGAGTTCACTGCACATCCAGAAATCCACAAGGCTGCTTTGATGATTAGCCAGAACTGCACCTTGCTTCTCTTGCAGAAAAGGAAGATAAACGCTCTTGTGCTCTTGTTCTCTAGAAGAACCTTCTGACAGAGGGACTACTTGAGGTCTTGGCACTGAGGGCAACTCTTGCACATCTGACCTCCCAGGAAACATAACCATGAGGTCCCAAAGAGTAGACAGGAAGCTCTAATCAAAATAAAATACAATGCAAGAAGCATTGGCTGGGCAGTCAAATGACAGCAAAGGCACCTGAGGTGTGCCAATCTGGCTACTCAAGGTAGCCCCAGGGGCTGCTCTGCTCTGAAAACCACAGCCCCAGTGTGGTGGGAGGCCAACATGACCCCYGCTGTCCTGGTGGGTTGGTGTCCATACTGGAGCTTGAGTTATGGGACAGCATTTTTAGGCTGGCACCATGGCAATCCTCCACACTATTGCAGAGGATCCCACCACYGAGTGTCTTCAAGGGTAGGAAAAACCTTATCTAAGATAAAATATAATTTAAAATATGGAGTCTGTAATAGTTCTTATGGGGGATCAAAATTTTAAATATTTTTATTCTCTAAAATTTAATTTTTTTATTTTTTATTTTCTTCTTGTAAATAAAATAGTAACAATCCCACTGAGTTCTGCCTCTCAGTAGGTGCTGGTAATGATTTGTGCAGAGCTCCCTTGGTTGGAGTGGCGTTTGTTTCAGATAATGGGAGCTGGTAATTTGAGTGGGTGTTTCCCATCTGCAAGTCCTGCATCCAGTGTGTSCCAGTGCACACACCTTCAAGGGCACCAGGCCTGGCATTTTGTCAAGAGCACTTCTTGAAATGGCTCCAGTGAGTTAAACAGACAGTATGGGCAGGTGCAACAGCATTCTCCAAAAGGGGAAGGAAGCCTTACCCCTGTAAGGCTGCAGGTTTGGGAATCTATGTGAAAAGATCTGGCTTTTTAACACACCAGGCTCTATTTAGCTGGACCTTTTTTCCTCCATGTAACTTTTTGACTAATTAGAAAACAAAGAAGTCCATAAGAAGCCACATCATTTTATTGTGAGCCTAATGCATCTGGTCAGGATTGGACTGACACTGCAGTCCTGGCACACAGCCCCCTGTGCATTACTCAGCAGGGTATGGAGTTGACTGGAGGAGCCAGGCCTTGCCTTCCTGGCTTCTTCCCGGAATTGAATAAGAAAGATACCCACATCAACYGGGTCTCCTCAAGCTTTCAGGGCTCTCAAATCAGTTCAGTTTATCAGTCCATTTACAGCAAACTTTCTGGAAAGTCTGTCCCTTGGATCKGGTGGAAATCATCCCAAAAGGGCAATATGTAAAGGATTAATTCACATTCCAGATTCCATTATTCTGGTATTACCAGAAGTAAAGTCGTGTTACTTCTCTTAACAGAGTTGAAAGTAAGGTGCAGGGAAAATACACAGAAACGTAAGGTTCTGAATGTTTTTTCCACTTTCATTTTTCTAATATAGAACTGGCTTGCTATGTATCCTGTAGCCAAACTAATCCTGTCTGTGCCCTAGATTTTTATTAGCCTTGCTTGCTTCTTACAGAAAGATTTTGTTTCTRGGACTCCTTCTAATTCCATTTACAACTGTACTGCCTTTTCTCTTCAATATGATTTTTCTGTAGTGTCCTTTAAGGATGCTTGGTCTTTTCTAACCTGGGATATATTTATAGTAACCTGATCTAATTTTACTAATCATTAGTGATCTTCCCTGCAGGATATGTTCCCTTCTCTTCTTTCTAAYATGATTCACAATGCATCCCAATTTAAAGTGCCTGTATGATTGAACTGTTATGCTGGGATTTATTGTGCTAAATCAAACCCCAGTGGATGGAGATAAGAATTTTATTTGTCAGTTTGCAATGCACTTGTCAAATCTGCTGTCAAAGTCTTTGCATTTTAGTAACAAYGCCTTAGCATTGCTCATGTAAATGTGTTTTAATTTTCCTTTAGCAAATTCATCTGTTTTATTTCTTAAATATTCAGATTTCTTTTGAAACTAGTCAAGGAAAGAAGCCTTAATAAATAAAATCACAGAAATAAATGTGGAGACATGTAAGGTATTTGTAGCCAGTGAGTTGTGGCCCCTAAGCATCATTTAAATATTGAATGAGTTCATTATAATCCCACTCCCCTCCCCTAAAAAAAACCAAAATATAGTATCAAGAATCAAACCTAATCTGCTTTACTAAATGAACATGTGAAAGTGCTTATCTGGGATAAACCTGGCTACTATACATATTTCTCTCTCTTTTTCCTCAAACAGAATGAAAACGCCCTTGCGAAAATAAAGGAGTTAGGAGTCGAGCTTGCAAAGATCAGGGAGGAAGTTGGTAAGTAGCACAAGAAAAGTGACAACAAAGTGATTTTCTCACTTTACATGAAAGCAGTTATTATGATTATGTTTGGCCTGGTCCTGGGGAACCTGCACACATGTGATGAAGTGTCTTCTGAAACCCAGTCACCAAAGGGTTTTGTGACTTTGCAGCGATCCTTGATTTCACCACTTTGCTGTGCTTTGAGTTCATCAACAYATGTTGGAGTCAGTTGTGCATCATTTTTACTAGACAAATTTTTCTTCATAAATGCATAGCTTCTGTCTTCAAACACCAGAACTGCCGAGGAGAAAACACAGTGTGATGAGAAGTGGGACCATTGCAGTGCATAGTGACTGGGAATGCATCACTTAGGAATATTTGCATGTTTTGCAGTTCAGATACAAACTGAAGGACACCAAGCTCAGAATTTGCTTATTAATATCTYTAAGGTCTCTTCTTGGTTGAAAGACAGCAAAAGAAATGCATCCCGTTTGGTCTGTGTATTCTCTGYATATCAGCATGCCCCTCTTTTCCTTTTTGGTTTCTGATCTAGACAGGAGAGAGAATGTAACAATATTGCCACTCCCTAGAGAAAAGWTGGGTTTTCCTCTGGCTTCAGTCAACAGGTTGAGCTTTTCTGGGCTTAAATCTCCCCAGAATGAGTGTGATGTTGGATTGATCTACCCCAGGGCAAATGGAGGGGAGGACCCCTGGGTCAGGGGACACCATGAGTACCCAAAGGTGTYGGAACCACTGAGAACTGAAGTTGAGAATAGGGGGAACATTTCAGCTTTCCCTGCATATGGGAGCCCAGTTGCTGGGTCACACATTGGGCACAGATTGTGCCACGTGGCCAGAGGGTGACATGGCCAGCAAAGGAAGGCTTAAGCCAAACACCTGTGGGATGGGCAGAACTGCAGATCCATCCTGTGATTTGCCTTCACCTTGCCCATGACAACCCACTCCARAAAAGCTGAGCACAGCCCTTTTCAGATGTCCAGCAGCTTGTGCTCCCTGCTTTGCATCTCTGAAATTTTTTGTCTGATTATCATTTCATAGAGAGCTTTATTGTCCCTATGGCCAATTTATGCTAAAGCAATAAGTCCAGTCATTCCCTGATGCCTGCTTTGATCCATCCACTGCATTTCTACAGTCTTACAGAGGAGCTGTTGCCCCTGGTGCTTTCTTCAGGCAGGGCACATCTGAAGCTCCCAGTTCAATACATGTGAACCACTCCTTGTTTGAAAGGGTTCAAATTTGCCTCAATGTTGCAGGTTGGGTTTGCTCATTTTCATGAGTCCTTTCTTAAGTRGCAGTGACATGGGAAGGAAAGAGAGGTTCATGGCTGGAGATGAGGAGCTCTGCTTCCATTTATACCRTGTTTGTACAGCTGAAGCGAGTACAAATCCCTGGTGGTTTTGCTGGAGCAGAACTTTGCCAAGGACATGATGCATGTCTGTCAGAGAGTCACAAGGCAGCATGTTCAGTACCAGCAGATCACTSCACTGCCTGCCCCTGCCATTGCCCTTGCACTGCAGCAGCAGACCCTTCCTCTGCACAAAGATGAGTCCTGATAGCACATGTGGGGACAGTTTTGGCAAGAACCACAGACATCCCAGAAAAGCACCCTGAGCTGTACTGCTTCAGATGGGAGATAAGCTGTACAGGCATATGGGCTCTCTTCCTCAGAATGGGAAAAGATGGTGTGAGAGAGTCCTTTCCGCAGTGGTCCTGTGGGCATGTGTAATGGAGAGGAGTCATTWGGCCATCTCTTCCTCTCATCCCTCTGGAAGACACTGAGACGCTGAGCAGAGGCTGTTTGGTTTTCTCCACCTACTTGGTGGAGATAATCTGCTCTGTGCAACCCTGAGATGCAATATGGCCAGGTAGAAGGACTCCCATTAGGGATGAACAAAAAGATTAACATGTGAAGCTATTAGACTTCAGCAGGATGTGAAAAAACTCATCAGCAATACAAATCATGGTATATATTCCTATATATGGAAGGTAAATGTCTATGTTTTTTAGTGTAAGTAAAAACTTGCAGCACAGTCTGTTTTCCTTTGGTACAAAATTATAAAACTTAATTTTGTGAAACAACCAGTGTTTTGAAATTGTGGACAAGGGGAAATGGTAAATGCCATGTACATGAGACATTTCTCATCAGTGCAGCTCTTTGCAGTCTCTAAAGCAGTTCAAGCTGAGGTKGTTACTGGAGACATGAGGGTGCTACTGGAGACATGCAGCCCACCTGTGCTGGTGCTATTAGGAGGATTATTTTGGCCTCACTATCAAAAGAATCAGTGTGTGGTACAATATTGCGCAAGATTTATGCAAATCAAGAATGAAACAGTCTTTTATTTGACAATGGCAATGTTGGGTGATTCTTTGAAGAAATTCAGGGAAAGTCAGAGCATGCTATTTTGACAACAACCAAGCTGTCATTTTGACTTGCCTCTGTCACTTTAATAAGTAGTTTCTCATTATTTAAAAATAACCAGCCCAGTTAAACAGCATGGGTGTTGGTCAGAAATTCCTGATTTCTTATGTGTAAATTCACCATGTCACACTCAGTAATGCAAAAGCCTGAATGAATCAGTTAAACAAGGCTGGACTAGCCAGGGTTGATACAGACAGTGTGTCCAACATTTAGTTGTTTGGGCAATAGCTGTAATTCAGGGTTGCAGTTTGGGTGCTGAATGTGCTTGGTTTTCACAGCAGTCTTTGTTAACTTCAACAGAAACTACAGGATTCTGCTATGCAAACCAATGAAATTACAAAAGAGAACTCACTGTTCAGAAAAGTTTAAGGAAAATTCTTTTGGTAAATAAAACCATCACTGAAGCAACAGCAGTGATGGACCGTGTGTAAAATTGCTTAGGGAGATCTGCATCCTTCTGGAGCCAGGCAAAATATTGAGGTTCAGACAACACCGTCCACCTTTACCCCCAGCACTGCTGTGGAAGTATCACACCTCATCTCACAACCAGCATGGGTGAAATAGAAAAGTGATTCTCCCTTCCCAGCCCTGGGGAGGAACCTTGGCCTCTATAAATGCTGAGGGACTTGTTATTTTAAGCAGTAAGATTTGCTCATGCATTTTGCTAGAAATAGCAAGGCTAGGAAAACATGACAAGCAGTCATTCTACACTCAAGACACTGAACTTTATAAATTATAAATATAAGCACTTTTCAGCTGCAACACTGAGTCTCTTGAAATAAAGAGGTTTTGATTACCACCTGTTTCCCTTCAAACTAATGGAAATTAAATGCGAAAATTACCTGCTCCTTTGCTGTCAGACCAATGATGTGAAGTGAGTTGAGAGGAGGTATGGAGATGCATAAAAAACCTAGATGAAGGGAAGACGATCAGATGGCAAGTTTAAAATTTGTATTGCCCATGTTCATGAGCATTTGGCAGCCAAAGCCTGTGTGCCATCGCCTCCTGGATATGCCTCCCAATAGAGGGCACTGAACCTGAGTGTGGTGACTGTGACTCGTCTGTGAGTCTGGGGCCAAGGGTCAGCAAGAAGAGCCCATTTCCCATGTCAGAAGGAAACAGTCCCTCTGTGGGGCCACAGACACCAGCCCTCAGTTCCCACAGGAGCTGCACCCCTGAATGCAGAGTGCCAGGGCTGGGAAGGCGCTGGGATGGCAGTGTGTAGCACACAATTGTGTGTGGTGGAGGGAGGTCGGCCCAGTAGTGATAACCACCTTTCCCTCACCTTCCCAGTGCAGCCTGAAGTGGGTTTTGCTCATCTCTTGTGCAATCAATGCCCAGGGAGTAGGGAAGCTGCTGTAGTTGGTCTCATTTATCCCAGCATGCTTTCATCCCAGGAAATGCCCTGTTGTATCAGGATCATTTTCTGCCTGTAAGCAACATTGGCGATACCTGCAGAGAAGGAGAAGGAAAACCAGGGTGTAATTTACAAGTTGTGCTCTGCTTGTCTGGCTCCATGTCAATAATACATCCATATAACTTTTTGTAGTGATTTTTTTCTTTTTCTACAAGAGTATCTCTCATTAACAGTATCCCTGTCTTGATGCCTGAAAGTAAAATTCACAGTTTTCCAGCAGCATTAGCAGCTCTTTTGTTCAGGCATCTGCTGTGGGGTCCCTGCTGGAGATGACACAGCTGTTTCACCAGGAGGACACAGCTGGCTCCAGCAAGGTGAGTTCTCCCACGCTGGTTCCTGCTCTGTGGGCTGGAGCGCCACAGACCTTGGGGCTCCATGGCTGCTGCCTTCTGCTACGCCTGTCCCAGGTCAGCCAGGCCTAAATGCCCATATTCCTACTAAGAAGAGATTCAGTTTTTCCTCAACACTTCAGTCCTCAGCCTATTTTAATCTGAGACTTATGGTAGGGGTCAATCCTTCTCATTAGAGGTGTTTGATATTCAGTATAGGGCAAATTTCCTGAGCAATAGCCTCCTTTTCTGCTTCCAGTGGCATAGCTGGGTGAATGGGGAACATGCCATGCAAGCTCACTTTCCCTGCTTCCCTCTTCCCTCCATTTTGCACCTGCATCAGGGTCTGATTTATGAACAGTTTTGTATTTCAGGTTACAGGATGTGTAACCTGAAATGTGATGTGATGGACTTCCATTTGGTTAGAGCACGTTGTTTCATTGCCCAGCCCTCCCTGTGTGCTGGATAATCTCATTAGAGAGGCTGGAGAGAGATGGGGTTCATTGCAGCTCCTATTTAAAGCTTGAGTAAGTTTGAATTCTACTGAAGGCAGAGCTGCAAGCATTACCCCTCCTGCTCTGGGTTCACTTTACGTGCCAAAGATAATAAAAAAGCAAAAAGCAAGAGAGAGGGTTTACAGCTGTAATTCAGACTGCCAGGGGACAAGACATTCCAGCTAATGTACCATTCAATTTTGGATATAAGGCAAGTGGGAAACCTTTCTGTGTGCTGCTACTGAGGTGCTAAACTCAGGAGCAGAGAGATTGATAGGGACAGAGTCCCTCAGAGTGCTCCAGAAAATATCAGGATCAGAACAGGAGCTCACTAGTGTTTATCTGTCTGGACATATCGAGCATGTGTGGATATTGGTGCCCTGTAAGTGTGGAAGCAGAGCTCTAAACAGGGCGAAAAATAGATTTGGAGAAGGGAATGGTTAGTTTGGGTGCCCAAATTACCTTACACGGGTGCATCTAACATGAGCTGTGGCTTTTTCCACCTAACATGGGAAAAAAATGAGCATAGTCTGACACCATAATAAAAAGAGGCAGGAAAATACAGATATTGAACAAATATGTGGTCATAGAATAAACATGGATTTGAAGCATTCAGCAGGGAGACAGCAGCTCCCAATCCTCTGAATTACAATGCCATACAGGTCTGTGCATGACATGCATTTTGAAAGGCAAAGGAAGGATAACTATGCAGACAGTTTGTTCAAAAAGCTGATCATCTATGGGTCTAAATCAGAAAGAAGATCTAACACTACCATTAGAAACCCATTTTCATTTTCTAGTGTCCTGAGTGTTACGGTCATGATAATTTTAATCACTTGTTACCTGTTTGAGCTTTACAAGGGAGCAAAATTGCTCTTTAAAAATAGTCTGGCTCATCTTGTCCAACTTGCATCAAGTCTCCAGTGTCTGGATTTATTGCAACTGCTCTTTAGCAAAGCAAAAGGCTGAGGACACATTTTGTTTGTGACACTGCTTTCCTGGGACCTGGGGAACAATAAAGGTGAGGAACCAAACGGGGAAATGGACTGATTATCATTGACTTGACAGAACTGCTGGAAAACAGTAAACGTGAATTGTGAATTTTGAAACATAGTCCCTGGGTTAGTTCACTAGAATAACAACGTCACATTTTCTGACTGCCTTCAGCATCAGCCTTTCCTTTGTGCTCTCTGATGCCATAAAGCACACAAGATAGTGGTTTGAATACACAAATACTTTCAGCAAATGTGCCTTGGTAGATTTGAATGGAGCTAGAGACAGACTTATGGGATGATCAGCTTCTAACAGCTTGAAAATGGGATGTATGAGATACACATGCTTCTGGTCAAGCAGTCAGTCATACCCCTGTACAACATGTGCACAGAGTGGGCGAGAACCCCACTCAYTGCTCTAGAGCTCATTGCTCTACAAACAGCCCTGGTGCCCCTGCTGGTGATGGCAGTTCAGAGCCAGACTGTGTGGTCCTGTCTCCACAGACCTCAGCACGGCAAGATGGAAGAAAATCCTGAGCGAGAAGGAGGAGCTGGAGAGGTGCTTCGAGGAGGAGGGGAAGCAACTCCGCCGGCAGCAACGGGAGGAGATGCAGGCATTGGAGCAGCGGCTGCAGGAGGAGTACAACACCAAGAAGGAGAGCCTGCAGGAGCAACACAGGCTGCAGCTGGAACAAGCCAAATTGCAGCATCAGGATCAGGTCAGTCTGCACCTGCTGCCTTTGAGGAGTAGTCCGTGCTAGTCTTGATTGGGTTATGATAATGAAATATATTGACCACTCCAGCATGAAGACACTGGTAATGAGTTATGACTGTAAAAATGTGTCCCTGACATTCTTTACTGGTGTTTCTCCCTATTAGTTCTCTGTTTTTCTACMCAGTAGTCTGTTACATGGCCATGTCTTATCCTCACATGCTTCCTGATGTTTACAATAAAAATATCCAGATCAGCTCTGCTGCCCACACATACCTTGCTCCTCAACCCACCCATTTTAGTCAATTTCTGACTGAAACCAAGGGTTAACAAGAGCCTGTTCCACACGGGWAAGGCCAGCAGAACCATGCCCACTGTTATTTGCAATGCCAGTCAAAGGGCAATGCAGTGAAATGATGGCACTCATGCAACACATGCAGCATAAACACCAAGCACATGATACATACCASGTCCCCTGACTGCTGCCCCTCCATCTAATCTCATCTCTTGGACTGTGCATCCCAAGTGTTTCTCCTTGCTTTGCTTTCTGAATGTAGGGAGGAGTACTCTCACAAGCAGCTCCTTTTGTCTACTTTTGTCAGAACAAACACTGTAACKCACCTTTGGGCACCTCTCATGTGCTGGCAGAACATCCTGCTCTGGACTATGGCAATGGTGCCTTTACCTGGCCTTTTTCCTGTTTTGCCTTCATTGAGCAGTGGATTCAGTTCTGATACTTCCTGCTGCAACTTTTACTCACTACCCAACACTACAGGTCACAGGTTTCAAAATATTTATCTGTAAATGATTARGACCTGTGCTGAGCCATCTTTTGGTTCTCATTTCAGTTTATGCAAGTTGGTTCTCTTGCAATGTCCCTCAAAATTTCTGCTTTTCTTTCTGATATGAAGGAGGGGCTGTGTTCCCAAATGCCTTGACTATTTTATTCCTTTCACTGTRTCAGCATGTCAGTCTGTCTGGTAGAAGATGTTGGCTCTTGCTGCAAGGTTTGCCCCTCCTGGATCACCAGGCATCAGCATTTGTGAAGGAATTTGTTAATTTTTTGCTGAAATAGCTTAGCTCTGCTACTCTTGGAAGTGTTTCTGCAAGCTCTCAGGATCAGAGCTCCATAAGCCCTGATTTCTGAAGGTAACACAAACATTCCTCTACAGCTTTGAGAGTGCTGCKGTGACCCTAGTATCTCAGAGTTTTAGCCCACATTTTCAATTCATAGCTCAGTTAGCATGATGAGTTGTTACAGGTTTTCCCTTTGAATTCCTACTCCGCTGTACACCCATCCTGTATTGAGCACTGTCGGATCAGGGGAGACTAACAAACCATGCTGGAAATCTGCTCACCAACMATGTTTCTTGGCCATTGGATCTTTTAGGCTGTATACATGAAAAAACCTTTGTCCTTGAGCTGCCCATCTGCATGGGGGGATTTGAATTTGCATTCACGAAGGCAATAACAATGGCAAAGTCCCACTGACCATGGATCTGCATGTATTTCTGTATCCATACATCTAATTTGGAAGATAGTCATCACACTTTCTCTGCTCAGCTCAAGCCGTTTTGTCCAGTAAYGCACTGAACTTCACCTGCTAGAGCCTTCTCTTCATTTTACTTTATTAAGCCTTAAAAACCCCACCTGAAGTCCTTTCCACAGCCAGAAATAAATATGACTTGTGTTTACTTGATCAAGCCTGCAGAATAAGTTAGTRGTGAAGTTGGAACTAGCATTTAAGAGATCCCCTTCCTAGTTCCAAGTTGACTATCTACCACAAAAAACTGTAGACGGGACATCACACCGGAAGATTAAAAAGAGTCATTTGGGATGTGGATATGAAACACACAGAAAAATCCCTACAGATCATTTGGAATATATTTAATTGGCTTTATAGATAAAYAACTTGCCAAGGATGGTGGCAGCAAGAAGAGACTCCTTCACCTTCGTTCATATGGGGTGCTGTCCAATTGAGAAGCAATTAGCGTATGACTGAAGAATTAAGCAAGGGAAAGGTAAAGAACATGGCAATGCTCATGGGGTTTCARCTGACAGACATCATGTACAAGGGACACTGTGCTCTGGGAAAAGTCACATGGTAGTCCTTGTCCCATTAGTAGCCCTTTGAGTCCTCTGCYCCCCCACCTTTCTCAGCTCTATCATGCAATGTATCAGGAGGCTGAGTCCCCATTATTTTACAGTTTTTCACCACTGAGTTGTTTCCTACATTAGTATGAAAATTAGTTCGGATACTTTTTCATTCCTAAATTTAAATGCCTAGTTTTCATTCTAAGAGCATGTTGTCTCTAATGTAGTTGGACATTTTGCTTCTGGTGGGTTACCTAATAGATATTTTTGACAGTTAAAAGCAGTGAAGTAACTTTTTTTCTAGTCAAGGCAAACTCAGCTGCAGCAACTTTCTGCCATTATTTACATAATTGTGAGCAAATAAAGCTGTTTAGAGTCAAGCCATTTAGACATGAACAGCTRTTTCACTGTAAACATAAAATAGTTTGATCCTCTGCCTTGCCAGATATGACAGATAATACTGTGTTAAATGTAGGGAGTAAGATCATTTTGTTTACAAACCCCAGAAAAGCAAATCRATGCATTGGATTCAGAAAGTGCTCTGGACCACTGACTTAATTCTGATCACCACTTCTCATTGTAGTTCATTAATGATGCAGATCAAAACACCATCATTAGGGATCTCACTTTGCCTTTAGCCAAGTCTGATAATAAACAATAGCTGAAGGAGTCCCAAACCCACTGTCTGCCCTGGAACACAGGCTKCCCACTGCCCTCTTCCAGCTGCACCATGACAGCTGTGGGCTGTGTGGTCATAATTATAATTTAGATTAATGGAATGTCAACATTTCTGAATATTTAATAAACAGCATCTCCAGCTAAGGGCTTTTTGACATTTTTCTTTCTTATGTACCTCTTCATCACCATTAAGCTAAAAGAATAAAATACTCTCAGCAGTGACTACATGCTACCACTCAAGGCATCAGCATGGCCAAGCTGACTCAGGTGCTGGAAATGTCAGATTCAACAGATCCTTTGCTGCTTCCAGCTCACTGGAGCTCTCTAGCAGTGGCTTGCCAGTGTGCACAGCATGTCTAACTGTGTGTCCATGTCTGTGCTCWTTGTCATTGGAACAGGTGGAAGATATCACAGCTGTCCATGAAGCTGCGATGTCACAGCTGGAAAATAACCACATAGTGGCCATTACAGTACTGCAGGATGAGAATGACTGCAAGATTCAAGGTAAGCCAAAGGCAGCCCAGCAGCTACACATCTATTCCAGAGCAGGAATTAATGCTGCAGTGACACTGTKTTTCTTCCCCCAGAGCATATTAAACAGAAAATTTGTGTTGGTCTAGTGGTTTCATGCGGTGTGGACACCAGGTTCATGCTGGGACAGAGGGAGGGATGTCTACAGTCTGTACAGCATCTAACTTTGACCTGAGATTATCTGAGGGGGGTCTCTGGGTCAAAGATRAGGCTTTCCCTATGTGTTGCTGAAAATAGCATCCAAATTCCACATCACTTCACACATATACTTTTTCAAGAGCCTAACCCTCAGTGCTCAAGAGGCTAGAGCTCTTGGGATATCTCTGAATTTAGGTGCTTAAATGCTCACACTGCTTCTAAAAACAGGATTCATTCTTTCCAGTATCCAGTGTCTGGCCATGCTGAGCAGACCAAAGCCACACACGGGTGTGAATCTGCACCTCAGCACTGTTATCTTTGTTTGGTGTTACAGTCTGGCCACAGGACTGGTGCTGCAGATTGAGCTGTTTCCTCCCTGCCAGTTTGGTRTCTAAACACATACCTCTGTGCATGTTTTAGCTGACATTCAACAGTTATCTGTACAATCTCCTCATTTTTTCTACATTTTAAATATCTCTAGTGGGTTTTCCCACTTTTCCCAAACCAAGCCATGTTGCTTAGCTCTGCAGTGTGTCAATTAGAGACACAGTCCAGAGYATAACGTGAACTGAGAACAGTCTATTCCCCTCTCTCATGGACAGGGAAGGTATCTAACATAGCATTTGTAAATTAACATATGCCATTTTGAAAATAAATAAGTAAAAAGCTGTTTCTTGCTGGAGGATATTCTTTTCTCTCCACTTTTATTAGTATTTTCTGATGGCWAAATTCAGTTGTGGCTCATCAAGGKTCTGGTGGCCAAAGTTTGTGCYCCCTGCTCCTTGTGCGGGTCTGAAATGCCCTCCTGTGCCTGGAAAAGGCACTGCAGCCGCTGCGGGCGAGCGCGCTGTGCCCGGCGCTGGAGCGGCGGAATCAYCTTTGCTGTGGCTGCGGCTGCTGAGCGGCGCTCAGAGGACAGAGCCCCTGGCCTTGGGGGAAAAACCAAAAAACGCAGTGTCCTTAKACTAAAAATGCACCTGCTACTACTGTTCTGAATGACATCTTGATGTCATTGCTTAAACTTCATTTCACCTTGTTTATTAAACTTTTGGTTATTAGTATGTCCAGGATGAGAAATTCAAGCAGAAAAACCTTTCACCATATTTTTTTATCTTCTCTGTCAGTCTCACTACTGGAATAAACTTCTTAAATCATCGGCCACGGCTTGGGGAGAAGCAGATCTGAGGTGGTGGCCCTCCTCTCTATCTCCCCAARGAAATTGCAACCCAAGCTTTTAAATGTATCTAATTTAAAGTTCTTTGATCTAGGGATACTCACTCTGAACTGGCAAATGGCCCATTGCCAGACTGACCCCTATCAGATCAGAGTACCTGGGGAGCTGGGAATTCTGAGCAGTTCTAAAAAATCAGAATCTGGTCACATAGAAATAGAGGCTTCTGCAAACAGTGAAAGATCAGGAAAATTCTGATTTTCAGGACAATTTACCTAACGTCACAGAGCATATTGCAACCACTTTCCTACTCTGTTTCCATATCCTGAAACTGCATCGCATCCCAAACTGTGCTTGACTCACAACACGTGTGCTCTCAGACCCTGGTTTGCTGGATWTCACTCAGTAACGTCATGTCTGTGTAACTTCTCCAGAACTGAATACTGCTCACAAACAGGAAAAGGCACAACTGGAAGAGACTTTTGAAAAACTGCGTCTGTCACTCCAGGTTAGTGGTTTCTTTATTCCCCACCCTGTAATGAGGCTGTGGAGCAGCTGATGGGGCAGCCCCAGATGTGTTGCCTGCTGCCAGAACACCAGGCTGTTGTCTCTTACCAGCTTGGTGCTCTCATGCTCTGCCTGTCCAAACTGGGATCTAGAAGCAAACCCTCAGGATTTTTCTTCCCCCTTGCCTGGTTCACAAGAGAGAGACAACCCAAAGGAACAAAAAAGCATCTGGATAAAGCAAGAAATGTCTTTTTTTTGTCTTGCTGTCTGCTGGCAAATTTGAGCCCTTCCCTGCACGGCTGGGAGAGCTCTGGCACCTGCAGCAGCTGTGAGCATCAYCTTGTCTACATGGTACCCACCAGCAGACACTCGCAGGGCTCAGAAACAGTGACCTCTCCTTGCCTGGCCCTGTGCCTGTGTTTATGCTTTAGACTCCTCCCTACTGCCTGAACGTGGGAAAGCCGGTGTCATGCTGTAGACACACCTCCAGTCCCAGTGGAGGGCAGTGGAGCCCCTGCTGTGGCTGCCCCAGGGCTGGCTCAGCCCCGCACATCACAACTCTCACATCCCACAGTGTAACACCAAGGTCAAGATCATCTAATCCTTCTAAARCTCCATGCTGTTCTCACTCCTTAGATGAAGAAATCCCGAGGAGCAGAGGGCAGAATTGTGGCCCTGTGACACACACTAAGTTTGGAAATGTTGTGTGAACAAGTAAAGATGCCACATCAAATAATGCAAGCCCTGTTTGATTTCATAGGTGGAGATGAATTACAATTTTTAAACGCCCTGACTCACACATATTGTTGAACTGCTGCGACAGCTTGGGGCCTGTCAGCAGTTTTGCAACAAGGGCTGACTGATGTAATGTTSCAGACAAGAAACCACAACTGTGAAAGATAAAAATAACATTTTTCACAACAACTGTGGATTTTACAGGTGTTGTGTAGACAGAAATGCCTTTGATGGTAACCAAAATGCAATTGCTTAAATTAACATGTTGTTCCCATGTGTAGGTCTGAGATTAAATGATGATCATTTAAAGTCCRCACCACTAAATCATTATTTCTCGTTACCCATTAGAAGCCTAGAGAGGTGAAGGCAGCAGGTATCTACTGCCTCATTCAGACTCTTAGGATGATACAGTCATATGTGTGTTATAAATGCCAGCTTTCCAAGGAGGGACATGTTTATTCTCATTCAGCACAAGGTGATGCGGTGAYTTAGCATCAGCTGCAGGTGTTTCAGGGATTTTGTGATTTCCTGAGGCTTATGAAACACCTAATTCTATGTTCAAGTGGCCTTATATAAAAAAAATATCACCCTACAGAGGTTTCTAAGCCTTGTTTAGCTTCCCTGGTAGTTTGGAGTGCAGACTGACCTATATGAATGCAATAGGGTTGGTGTGTTAATTGGTGTTTTCCCTTCAGGACCAGATAGACACCCTCACCTTCCAGAATCAATCCCTTAAGGCCAAAGCAGACCGGTTTGAAGAGGCTCTGAAGAAAAACACTGAGGAACAACTGAAGGTAGATGGCAAATCTAGCTGCACAGGCACCACAATTCATGTTTCTAWGTATTACACATCATCTGATTCAATGAAGAGCAGTGGGATCCTCACTCCAGGGRTGGGGGGGCAGGTCCCAACTGAGACCCCAGACACTGAGCTCTGAAGAGGAGTCAGAAATCTTAGCCAAAGGGGTGTCAAGGACACTAAATCAGGGGTCAGAWGGCTTACAGAGGACCAGGTCCAGGTAGTTTTCACACCATTGATTCTCCTGAACCACAGGGTCACATTAAGGAATCTCTCTTATGGCTGAAGATGCATTTATGGCTGACGTATCCAAATCCCTGATGTATTTCCCAGATTGTGCGAGCTCCATATCTGCACTTAGAAAAAGATCTGAAGAGCTTAAAACATGTTCTGGAAATGAAGAAYCTCCAGATTCACCAACAGGAGAAGATGATTATGGAGCTAGAAAAACAGGTGAGTTGTAWTTTTTCCTACAGAGGAGACATCACAGAGGTAGTAAAGGAACAGTTTGGTTACAGCAGATGAACTTAAGAGTGSTGAGTTAACACATGAGGCTGGGACAAGACACAATCAAAGAGGTTCACATCCATTGAGCTGGATTCCAATGATTTTTCATACACTTCCTGCTCAGCATATTATGGTAGACAGTGAAGGGAGTGGGATAGGAAGAATGGAAGAAGAGGAAATTTGTGGTAGTGCAAGGTACACCAGCCATATGTACCATATGGCCTTAGTGGAGTCAGGTAGCCTTTTAGGGATGGAGAGGGCAAGTGGAGGAAGACTGAGCCATGGTGTGTCTTGGTGCTCCTCCTTCAGGCACTTAGGGACCTATCTGTGAATTAGCAATACCCAGTAAGCAGTCCCTAGTAAGGCTTGTACTAGAAAAGATCTCTCCAGCCCTCCAGTTATTCTTTTCGGCAGGCTGTGCTGGTTTCTGATCCTTTACTTGTGGGATTCCCTAATGAAGAACTCCCTAGTTCGCGATCAATTGCATTTTTTGTAGGAAAGGGGATTAATTTTGTACAGCATAACCTGCAGTGACAGTAAAAGGCAGTGTGGTGACAGGACARGGCAATACCTCAGGTGGGAGCTGTGACAGCTGGTTCAGCACAGCATTCAGCAAGATTTATTTCCATTTACAGGGAAATTTGAGAACTCTGATGAAGATGCTTTAGTAAGTGGATGTAGAGAAAAGTGCCTCTTTGCAACTAAGGCTTATTATCTGTGTTCCTCCCAATGTGCTGCTCTTGGAGCTAATCCCACATTTGGAAACACTGGGAAAAACAAAAAATCCCAAACAACAGCCGATATAATTCCTGGTCATTTAGCTGCTTTTGCTCATTAACCATATACAAGTACACAGCCTCTCCCTGCCCTTTATCACAGTAAAACACCAGGTCTGCTGTGGTCCAAAGGTACAACTGCTTTCCATTTAAAGATACACCTTTGTAAGTGCCAGAACACCTGCAGGATATTTCCAAAYGCTCTGAAAGCTGGGGTGCCTCACAATGGAGCAAGAGGGCATTTCAACAACAGGGTCACCTCAGCTCCTTGGCAGCCAGAAGGGAGGCTGGAAATGAAGGTGGCATAGCTATTACTTATGAAAACTGATGAAGAAGCAGAGAGGGAGCCCTTWATGGTGATTTCTTTCTCAGAGCCTCTCAAAACAGGGCCAGAATCCATGTTCTACTCTAACAAAATATACTGGGAYAGACCACAATATCTGAGAATCAGGAGTATCCTTCACCATTACCTGCATAAACTGGAAAACACAACATAAAATTGATGTCTCCACCATTCAGTGTGAGTTATTGCTATCCCTGTGCACAGTATTTTGGTTCTTTATAAARGTTGGGAAATTCAATAACTGAGCTCACACAGAGATAAGGTTAAGGTTACCCTGTGCTATCTTGTTTTCTTTTGAAAATGTTGAATTMAGGAAAATTCAAACTGCTGGAAAACCAAGAACTAAGGTGATAAAGTATGTCAAATTCAAAGCTTGGGGGAAAACGGGGCAGCTGAGGCTGTGGAAYGGGCCTGTAAACATCTTACTGATGTTCTAATACACTGCTACTGGTATCCTCAAACTCTGCYCTTGAACTGTCCTGAATAAAAGCTACTTGTGCTTGGGATAGGATTCATTCCAATTAATTACAGTTTAAAGTTAAAGTACAGTTTAAAGTAAGGCTGGTTTAAGCCTGTCATTGAAATGGACGTTGTCTGCAGTAATGAGAAAAGTCTCCAGAGGCCAGCCCAGCTCATGAGAATGCAGCAGCACTCTAAGGCTGCTGCTGGGCATCATCTGCCCTGAAGGGTGATTCTTTCTTCTCCATAACTGAGGAATCACAATCCTGGAGGCTGGATGTCAGACTGTAATGTCTGGAAGATGTACATCACACCACCTTGCACTCCTCCTCCATCWCTAGACAGACCACAGAGCTGGGCAGCTTTCCATGCTGGCTATCCTCATGCTCCTCAAGTGTCACCAGGTAATGCTGGCTCCTTGGTGGACAAAAGTTGTGGGGGCACTGAGGAAAACATTTTTKGTGTTGAACAAAATTAAGACCCTCCTCCTCCTCAGTTAGAAGTAAGGGCTGGTTTAGCTTTGCCCCTGCTCAATGCTCTGTTGATGGCCTCGCTTACTTCACCATTATGATGTGGTGGTGTGAGTCAGATCTCAAATCTCAGCTGTTGTCAAGATAACCACCTCTACCTTTCCTCAAATTTTAGWAGTTGCCCCACAGACTAATATAGAATAAATTATCTTGGATCCAGTGCTGAGTGTTCTTCAGACTTAATTAACTTCCTTTTGCTGCAGGTTGAAAAAAATTTAAAACTGGAAGAAAAAATCACTATGCTGCAACAGCAGAACGAAGAACTCAGAGCCAGGATTGAGCAAAATACTGTCATAACAAGGTTTGTGCTGGTATTTGCAATCTCTCTGAGTTTGAAATGAGGCTCCAGGTCTTAACTGTCCAAGGCTGACACTTATTTCCTCCTGAAAGTATATTGGTGTCCTGCTCTGTTTTCTTTATTTAAAAAATATTTTTTTATATTGGGGTTTGCTTCCTTTAACATAAGGAAGGCTGTATTTTGTCTGTGTATTGCCATGAGTTTGACATGCTGATGAGAACAAGCTTGTCAGTGATTCTGATCTCAGTATCAGTGCCCTGAGACCCATTAGTCGGTGGATAATGAATATGGGAAATGAGAAAATCTTGGGTAACACACCTTAACGATGCCATTGTCACCTGGGYGGGATTATCCTTTGGCAGGTTTTTTCATCAGCACTGCTTTTTTTGCRATCTTGTCACAACGTGACAAGGGTGCCAAGACTCCTTAAGTTAGTCAGGTGAAAAATAAAGAGCCCTATCCCAGAAAGTTTRTATGATGCTGTAAAGCCAGAGACTGCAGCTGGAGCCAGGCAGAAGGGGTGCCAGAGGGAGAAGCTAGAACTGGTCTTGTCCCAATACTGCACCTACCTAGCTGTCATTGCATCCAGAAATTATTCCACTGGCCAAAAATGAAATTTAATTTTTAGGGGATTTTCTAAACTGTCAAGTGTCTCATCTCTGATTTTAGTTTTTGTCTTTCTCGTGCCTCGTTTCTTCACGACTCAGTCTTTTGAAWTTCTTTAAAGGCAGCATTGCTTGTACTAACATTCAAATTGGGGTGAGGATTATGTTTTCTCTCACCTGATTGTAAATACCTTGTAACAATGTCTGAGGTGSGTGTCTACAGCATTGCTGTGCTGCAGGAGGAAAACTGGTGATCTTTAACGTCTGGTTCACCAGWAGAGTTTGAGACACCTGCATTTGGGCTGGATAAATTGTGGCCTGGAAGTGGCAGTCTCTCTCCACGCCTGACAGCAGMTGGGGTGCCTGGTTCAGTGCTTGGCAACTCTGCATTGCAGCTTCCTGCCTGTGGCTGGRTGAACAGCACCCTCCCTCCTCTCCCTGCTGGCATCCAGCTGCAGCACTGTGCTCGTTGCCTGAAACCGTGTAGGTACTGCATCCGAAAGCACCTTTTAGGAGAAATTCTGAGTTTGAGGTCAGGCTGGAAAGTCACCTTCAAGGAGAATAATTTTCAACAGTAACTCTTTGGGTTCAGCTGTGGGGCAGCTATAGGGACAGCCAGGGCTTTAAAGCTGGAGTTATTAAAACATGCATTTTCCTGCCAGCAGTAGCCCGATTTGTTTGATTGCCGATTTCTGTTGTGCTGGCACTGCCTAGGAAGTGCAGCGTGAACGAGCTCAGGGMGCTGCCCTGGATTAGAGCAATTTCTGCCAACTTGCAGTTTGGGTGCCCAGGTRGCTGTGGCAGCCCAGCAGTGGCGAGAGGAGGGAGGGCAGCCAGAGCAAAGCCAGTCTCTGCAGCAGTCAGGAGCAGGGTCCCAGAGCCATTGGGAGCTCAGGGGTGCACCACAGAGATATTTCCAAATACAGCCAAGGGCAGGAACAAAGGGAAGGACAGGAGCCTTGTGGGTAGACCATGACCCAGTTTTGGATGCGGGAGCTCCACAGAGCCCCTGCTGGAACTTCCCCAMGCACTTGAATAAATCATCTGCTTTCCCAACATTTCAGATCCTCCCTCCAAATCAACCAGCATTTTTCTGGTCCTTTGGACTGGGGATGTCTGTAGAATGATACTTTCCAACACCCAAGAGATTAAGGTGACTTTGCTACCCACTGTTCCACGGCTCAGAACTTTCAGGGACYGGTGGAATAAACATATTCTTGATTACCTGAGCCACATTTCCATAGGAACTGAGGCTAAAAGAGCAGAAATTCTTTTAAAATTTTTTWAAACAAAATCAGAAATGCCAACCCCACCCTCTCATAGGCTTTTAGTGATTGGACCAGCAGTGCAAGACATATGCTACAACCTCAGACTACACCCAGAAAAGGAGTTGTACAGAACTTTTTRTGTGCATCCAAAATCCACACCCAGATGCTGCTGAACACTGAAAACACCTACGGGAAGKTTAAGTTCCTCCCTGTTCATTTCTATAAAATCCTAAATTGCCTGTAAATCAGGTTAGATGCCTGCCCAGAGCTGCCACATGTTGATCACATCAAGAGCTGGCTCYTGCCCAAGTGTAATGGGGCTGCAGAATCCTGGTGCTCCCACATGGATCCTTCAGGATTTAGGCGTTGTCAACACATGCCCAAAACATGTTTTGATCAGGTCCCACAGTCTACCTGCCCTGCYCCATTTGTTTCCAAACCAGTCTCCTGGTTAGATGAGTGCAGACTCACTAAGGCTGTGGTCCCCRTAGGAGATTTCCACACCCCAGCTCCCAAAAAGCCATTAAGTTATTGGGCATTCTGAGGAGAACACCTCCCTGGTTGTTCCTGGTGAAGTTTCCCTAGTGTTGGAGACAAGAATAGAGGATATTTTGGGACCAAGGAGAAAGGARCTGGAGAAGGATCCATAGCCTCTTTACAGAGCAGAGGGAAAACCTTGAAGCTAAGCTGTGACCTGCATCAGGAAATCAGCTAAAACCAGGAGCATGGAAAGGGCAGATTCCTTTCCCTTTGCATGCCATAGCAGCAAGTTGAAAAAAATCAAAGAATGCAACTGCTGTCATCACTCTTTGCGCTTGTTCTGACATTCTACAAGTGCCACAAGGCCAGGAAGAAAGGCTGGGGCTCATCCCATCTAAGCTTTGGCAGCTGAAAYGTCTCAAAGAGGTGTAGAGCAAACATAGGGGTGCATCTGGAGGCAGAGTCTGACACTGGGGGGAAGCTGTGGCTTGTGGAGATGCCTTTCTCAGCCAGCAGTGAAGAGACCTGGGGACAGCTGTGCCCCAGCTTCAGCAGCTCAGCTGCAACCCTAGGGGCAGGGGGATGGGATGGGATGGGATGGGATGGGA